GAAGGAGGGGGAGGGACGAGGATCCGGGGATAGGGATTAGGAGTCGAGGAGCGGGGCGTCGGGAGAGTGAGGAGGGGGAGGAGGAGCACTGCCCACCGCCTCATCCCCTGCCTCCTCCAGCCTCCTGCCTCCTGCCCTCCTGCCTCCTGCGTCCTGCCTCATGCCTCATGCCTCCTCCTCCTCCGTCTCCTTATCCTCCTCCTCCTCCTCCTCCTCCTCCTCCTCCTCCTCCTCCTCCTCCTCCTTACGTCTCTGTGTTTCCTGGCAGTTTGGGCTCCATCGCGGGCTCTGTGGGCCTCCCGCAGGCCGCGAGCTGGTGCAAAGGGCAGCCTCCCTGCCTGCCTGCAGGCCGCGAGGCGGCAGCAGGGCGGAACTGCCAGCAGCTTCGTCCTGCTGCCACGACGCTGCAGGAAGGGCTCCTGTGCCTACAGTCGGCCCTGATTGGACAGGACACGCGAGAGGGCACAAGACCCTTCCGAGGGCCACGTTTCCACAGAAATGCGGGAGGCATAGGTCGCACGACACAAGACACGAGGGTACCTTTGATCTGGAAGGGTCGACCCACTAATCCGGGCTGCCTGTAGCGACTGTTGCTCGGCTCGAGCACTTCACCCCCTGGCAGGTCGTCCCAGAGTTCTGGCGCTCGCTCGCCTCTGAGATCGACGCGAACAACTTCTGGCTCACCCCTCGATCTGCTGCCACAAGATACCAGCGAACACCGTTGCTCCTGGACTGGCATGTTTCCATCCAGGACCAACTCCTCGGTCGATACGAGCACCCCAAACCGCCAAGGTGGAGCACCCATACCTGCACAATAGACGTGACGCTTAATGCTCAACTCCCTTTGGATGATGATGGCTGTGAGTACGGCGCCCGATGTCAAGCCTAGTGAAGACAGGTTAGCATCATCTGGATTCAGCATGCACTTGCCGAACAATAGCCTCACTTGCATTGTCGTCGCCAGCCCAAGCTCTGCGCTTACGAGATTTCTGAGTTCGCTCACGGAGCACCACGACGATACACGGATGCTTGCTGATCGACCCCCGATAACTTGAATCGTCAAATCGATTAGCAAGGAGTCGCGGTTGCGCCTGCGCCGACATACTGCTAAGCACGAATCGCACATCCACCCAAACCACTGCGGCATAATGGCGGAGTGGGTACGTGTTGAGACAGCGAGGGGGGCGAAATGCTCAAAACCGAATGCGCTCGAGCTCGAAGAGCTCGGGCCATAATGGCCACGGACCAGAAGCTCGTCCTCACTTTGGAAAACCGCATGTGTTGTACCAACCAAATCGCACCTGTACGGTTCGACCAAACGATCAGGATACGCGGTAATTCAATATAAAAGGCCCTTGGACGCACATGTTGTAACCGATGTGGGAAGCCAATGGTCCAGGGCTGCGGGTTATTATGTGACGAGAGGCAAGGATGCAAGGGTACCCGTGGAACGTTACACGTCCTTGCTCGTCCATATGATGCGGCTTACCTCCAGGAGGATGAGGAGGACGATGAGGAGGGGGCCAACACCGGTGAGTGGAATCGTCGAGCTTGAATCGGCGAGATATCGCCGACAGATCGGCGACAGTCCACCGATAGCGAATCCGCATGCTGCTGGACAGGGTGGGCTATGGGGCCACTATTGGCGATCGGGCATCGATGCAACCTCCCCTGAGCCTTTCCCAAGGTGGTTTTCGGGTGAGAACTCGGGCTTCCGGAGGACGTTCGGCACAAGCTTCGGGGCAGGCTCCGGAAACTTCCCAAAGGCCGCGCGACTTCCGAGCCTCCTGAGAAGGCCCGCTCCTCCTCACTCCCCCCCCAGGCTCGACGCCGACAGCGGTCCTCACCCGTGCTTCCAGGGTGGGCCGGGGATTCGCGACGCTGCTGCCCGTTGCCGCTCGCTACCGCCTGCGTGAGTCTGCCGACCATTCGCTGCCGTGCCGCCCGTGGCCCCCCGTCGCCACCTGCGCGGGCATGCCGAGGACACGCCGCGTCGCCGCCCGTTGCCGCGTCGCTGCCGCTTCATGCGCTGCGGGTATGCTGAAGATTCGCCACGTTGCCGCATGTGTGCCTGTGGTGTTGATGATGATGGTGATGGTGATGGTGATGGTGATGGTGATGATGATGATGAGGAGGAGGAGGAGGAGTAGGAGGAGGAGGAGGAGGATGCTGATGCTGATGCTGATGCTGATGCTGCTGCTGATGATGATGCTGCTGATGATGATGTTGATGATGCTGATGCTGCTGATGATGATATTGATGTTGCTGTTGTTGCTGTTGTTGCTGTTGTTGATGACGCGCCGCGTCGCCGCCCGTTGCCGCATCGTGGCTGCTTAGTGCGCTGCGGGTGTTAGAAGAGGAAGAAACGGCAGAAGCATAAACTTTGGGCGCTCCGCGCGGGTGTCTGGGGTCCGCGCTGGACCCCCCCTCCCTGGCGCGCGGAGCGCGCCGGGGGCGGCGCCGGATCCAGGAAGTCCCGCGCGGAGCGCCAAAAACTCATGCCTGTGCTGCGGTTTCGTCTCCGAGGTATGCCAGAGATTCGCCACGTTGCCGCCCGCTGCCGCCCGCGCGGGTCTGCCTTCCGGGGGCTCGTGGCCACCCGTGGCCACCCGTTGCCGCCCTCGTGGGTAGGCTTCGGTCGAGCATGCCCGCCTAGAGGCGGATCTTGGACGAAACATAGCAGGTACCAGCAACATGTTCCACCAAGGATTGGTCAAACATAGGAAAAGAATAGTTAGTCCCCAGACTACTTTTTCAGCTATTTGGGAACATTCATCCTGTAGAGGTGTAGAGGGACAGGCCCGACTGAAGGGTATGCCGAGGATTCGCCACGTTGCCGCCCGTTGCCGCCCGTTCATGTGCCTTCGCTGTCGGGGCCCGTGGGGCACCCCCCGTGAATCCGTCGCCCGACGGGCGCACCCTCCTGAGTTCCACGGATAGCGAGGCTCCATTCGGAATCCCACGATGTAGACGCTCCGCTTCACATGCAGGCATTGCCCGTGGCCCCGTTCGCTCCGCCGCGGCAGTGCCGGCAGGAAAGAGGGATGCGGGCCCGTAGTCGTGTCTTATCTTATCATCATCCTCCCCCTCCTCCCGATCATCCAAAGAGCATGTTCACTGGGGGTTCCAATCCCTCACCCCCCCCTTCGGTCCAGCATGAAAAAGGGGAGGGGGTCACTACATGTCACCACCGGTTCGAATCCTCCCCCCCCTCCCTCGCCGTTGGCAAACGACTCCCCCTCCTCCCCCACTCCGGACAGTGAGACAGCGGCGGGGACAGTGGGGGCAGTGGTGGGGACAGTGGGGACAGTGGAACAGTGGTGGGGACAGTGGGGAGAGTGGGGCCGTGGTGGGGACAGTGGTGGGGACAGTGGTGGGGACAGAGGGGACAGTACGACAGTGGTGGGGGCACTGCTGGGGACAGTGGTGGGAACAGTGGGAACAGCGGGACAGTGGTGGGAACAGTGGGACATTGGTGGGGACGGTGGTGGTGAAGACAGAGGTGAGGGGACAGTGGGGACAGTGGTGGGGACAGTGAGGACAGTGCGACAGTGGTGGGGACGGTGGTGGTGGAGACAGTGGTGAGGGCGGCGGTGAGGACGGTGGTGGGACATTGGGGTACAGTGGGGACAATGGTGGGGGCAGTGGGGACAGCGGGAAAGTGGTGGGGACAGTGGGACAGCACAGTCGGACAGCGGTGAGGACAGTGGGGAGGGGACAGGGGGGGCAGTGGGACAGTGGTGGGGACAGTGGGGACAATGGTGGGGACAGTGGGGAGAGTGGGACCGTGGTGGGGACAGTGGTGGGGACAGGGGGGACAGTGCGACAGTGGCGGGGGCACTGGTGGGGACAATGGAGACAGTGGTGGGAACAGTGGGGGCAGTGGGACAGTAGTGGGACAGTGGGGCAGTGGTGGGGACGGTGGTGGTGGGGACAGTGAGGGCGGTGGTGAGGACAGTGGTGGGGATTCGGAAGTCGTTTGCCGGCGGCGGCGAGTAGGGGGTAGGGGGGCTTCGACCTGGTAGTGACCTCCCAGGTTTTCCGAGGGGGTGGGGTTTGAACCAGTAGTGACCCCCCCCGGTTTTCCGGAGGGGGGGAGGGGGGGGGATGCGCGGGGGGGGGGGTTGCCGGGGGGGAGGGGGTTCGAGCAGTGGGGGGGGATGTTTGGAGGGGGGGGGGCCCCCTGGTTCCAGAGGAAGAGGGGGGGAATTTTCCACAGCAAAGCGGCGGTGGATCACGCTCTCTCCGATCATCCTACTCCTTATGCGTCCTCTTTTCCTCCCTCCTCCCCCCTCTCCTCTTCTACAATTACTCAATATGAATACTACTCTCCCTCTTCCCCTGATGGCGTCCTGGGAGTAGTAGACCCCCCCTCGTACTGTTTTTTTACACACAGGATTCCCGGGAGTTGGGTTTTCGCCTGCGATTTTTTTCAAAATGCTGCTCTCGCTGAGGCGCCGGCCTCATTTCTGCTCCCGAATCGTTCCGAATCGTGCTCCCGCTGCAGCGTGGGCCTCATTTTCGGATCGGTGTTTGGCCTCCGTCGTTCAGGATGGCGTTCTCGCCCCAGCGCGGGCCTCTTTCTCGCGCGCCCATCCGCCCGCCACCACCACGCACCACCACCACCACCACCACCACCACCCACCACCAGCACCAGCACCCACCAGCACCAGCACCAGCACCAGCACCAGCACCAGCACCAGCACCACGACCACCACAACCACGCACACACGCACGCACGCACGCACGCACGCACGCACGCGCACCACCACCCACTACGCACGCGCGCGCGGAGCCACAGGTCCGCTACGACACGCGTCCGCGGATAGAGAAAATCAGCGCCATGGTAAGGGATGGGAGGGAGGGGTAGGACGTCAGGTATGACGCGAGCGCACCTAGCTTGCCTCCCCCCCCTCTCCCCCGTGCTCTGGAGCGTCGTGGCTCCTCCCCCCTCGCGGCAGCCCAGCATATGGAGCACGGTGGCGGCCGGCCGGGGTCTCCAGGACGGGCGAGAAGTCCGGCTCTTGGACGTACTCCATTTTGCCGCTGATGAGCAGGTACACGCTCTCCGCGCCGACTCCCGCCTGGAAGAGGTCGTCCTGGGTGCGTGTGTACTGGAATTCCAGGCACCTCTTCTCGTCCTGGTGGCGCCCCTGGCATTTCCTGGCGGGACACGAGCTCTCTCCCACGCCTCCTTCCTCTCCCATCCTCCGCCACCCTCACTCCTCCGCCCACCACCACCACCACCACCACCACCATCATCATCATCATCATCATCATCATCAGCAGCAGCAGCAGCAGCAGCATCAGCATCAGCATCAGCATCATCATCAGCAGCAGCATCATCCTCATCCTCATCCTCATCCTCATCACCACCATCATCGTCATCATCGTCGTCATCACCATCGACGTCGTCGTCGACGTCGTCATCAATACCATCGCCGTCATCGTCATCGCCATCACCATCACCATCACCATCATCATCACCATCATCAGCATCATCATCACCGCCGACGTCATCGTCGTCAGTGTCATGGTCATCGTCATGAGTGTCATCACCGTCATCATCATCAGCATCAGCATCAGTATCATCAGCATCACCATCATCATTATAATAATAACCCTCATCATCATCCTCATCAGCAGCAACACAATCATAAACATCACCATCACCATCACCGTCACCACCACCATCATCCTCAACAACATAATCAGCATCACTATCAACATCATCATCATCAACGACATCATCAGCAGCAGCATCATCATCACCATCATCATCATCATCATCATCATCATCAGCTGCATCATCAACATCATCATCAATCATCAACACCACCATCATCATCGTCGTATTCGTCGTCGTCATCAACATCATCACCGTCATCGTCATCGTCATCACCATCATCACCATCATCATCATCATCATCATCATCATCATCATCATCATCAATATCATCATCATCATCGTCGACGTCGTCGTCGTCGTCGTCGCCGCTGGCATCACCACCAATACAATTAACGCGCCTTCCTCGTCCTCACCATCACCGTAACCATCACCATCACCACCATCTCATCATCCACATCAACACTGCCGTCATTGCCGCGAGGCATCCCCCTCGTCCTCCTCCGCAACCGCCTCCTCTGTCTGGTCTGGCCCTCTCTCCCGCCTCCCTCCGCCCCCCTCCATCCACAACCTTCCCCTCTCCGCCTGCCTCCACTCAATCCCGCCCTCCATTCCCACGCCTCCCTCGCCGCCAAGGAGGAGGAGGAGGCACTGTGACTGTGACCGGCGGGCTGGCCCGCGCGCGGGGGCCAAGTGCTCCAAGAGAAACCGACGACGACAACGACAAACACGACGACGACGACGAGGACGAGGACGAGGACGACGACGACGACAACAACGGTGAAACGGCGACAGCCCAGCTGCAGCAAAAGCCGGCGCTGAAAAATCTGGGCATAGCCAAGGTTGTGGCAACTTTAAGAATTCGTCCAGCCGGCACTCGTGGCAACCTCGACGATCGCCCGGCGAGGGCCCGGACACGTTCACCAATTGTTTTTGCGGGCAAACATTCGGTGAACGCCGGGATCGGGGGGGCCTGTGGAGTGGCAACAAAACCAGACACAAAACACACGCAGACAGGACCCCCACCGAGCCACATAATACATCAGTATAGGCATATTCAAAAGCTGGGGATCCACAGCTATGGGAGGCCTCCCTGGAGGAGGAAGGAGGACGGAGACGAGGAGGGGGCCCAGGAGGGAGGTGCAGGAGGATGCAGAGGATGAGGCTGAGGACGAGACGGACGCGCAGAGGGAGCGGGAGGAGCGATGGGCAGGCATGGGACGGGGCGGCGGAGGAGGAAGAAAGGGGCGGAGGAGGAACAGGTGGATATGGATGTACAGATCTACAGTTTACCCGTCGGTCGGAAGAAGAGGGTAGAAGCATGAAGTGCGAAGGCGTTGGAAGTGAATTGGGCTTCCGCCCGCCCCCTGAAGAGGAGGGAAGAGGTAACATCGCTCGATCCTTGAAGCAGGAAGGCGCCCAGAGTAGATTGGCATCTGGGGATCCAGCCATACCTACTTTCAGCAACCGACGAGCAAGAGAGAAGCTAACCCGACTACAGCCAAGGGGAGGACACCAGGGCGAGGGGACGGGGGAGTCCCACGGCGACGGCGGCGGCACAGACGACGGCGGCGGCGCCTGCACAGCATGTGCGCGAGCGCTGGGTCCACGGACACCTGGCCGCGCCGCGTCATTACCGCTGTCGGCCTTGAGCAGGGACCAACCGTCCCCGCATTTCTACATGCCTACCACAACATGTTCTTAGAACCCGAACATGTTCTAATAACAAACAAAACTGTGTTCTTAGAACATACACCCGATGTGTTAAAACAAGACAGTCCCAGCCAGAAATGTTCTAAAAACATTTCCTGGAAACCACAAAAGGATCTTAGAACATTGTTTGGTAGGCCTATAGGCGCGCCAGGACGCTTCGCCACCGCCGTCGGCCGCCGCTGTCATCATCGCCGTCGTCATCGTTCGTTGCCCATCGCCTCCCTCGTCGGCCGTGGTCCGGCGCCCGTCGACTATGGGGTCGTCGTTCGTGGTCCGTCGTCCTCGTCCTCCTCCCTCGAAGGGGCCCAAGGACACACAAATAAATACACAAAAATAACAGGATTCCCCATATTCACTAGATTTTCGTCTTCCCCCCCACTTCCCATACCCTGCAACGTCCCTCACGGGGGTAGAAACCAACTGGGTGCAGTTTACTCCGTGGAGCGTCGTGTTGTCTCCTCCTCCACTCGTGTTCTTGCGGCAGACGTCCACCCCTGAGGCTTTCGGAAGTTTCCACAAGGCTCGCAGGTAGTCAGAAAAATGCCCCGAACATCGAAGACTCAATGATTCGAGGTTTCGTCTTCGACTCCGTTCCCAGAGCCCCAACGTCGTGTCTGTTTATCTTGTCGGCGCCCTTGTTGTATCGGAGAGCCTCTTTATGACGATCCCGAGAGGAGGGAGGAGGGAGGAGGGAGAAGGGAAGGAGGAGGGAGGAGGGAGGAAAACGGATGGGGAGGAGGCGGATCTCGCGCACGGCGCTGTCGGAGCCATCGAGGCTACGGATGAGGTAGGAGGAGGATGAGGAGGAGGAGGAGGAGGAGGAAGAGGAGGAGGAAGAAGAGGAGGAGGCGGATAAGGAGGATAAGAAAGAGGAGGAGAAGGAGGAGGAAGAGGAGGAGGAAGGATAAAAAGCAGGACGGATGAGGAGGCGGATGACGACGACGAGCAGGAGGAGAGGGAATGACGCCCGTCCTGGAGCCTCTTGGTGTCGCCTTGGCTCTCCTAGAGCGTGCTGGGGGTCCTGTGGCCTGTTTGGGCTCTTCGGGGCCTCTTGGGGCCTCTTGGAGCCTCCTGGGCCCTCTGGAGCTCCCTGAGTGTAATTCAAAATGGGTTCTCCGGGGGGCTCTTGAGATCTCGTGGGCTCTCCCCGGGCCGCCATGGGCCCTACAGGAGCCTCCGTGGGCCCTCTAAGAACTCCCTCGCGGGGGCGGAATAATGAAACAATTTCACGCATGGGGGCCTTTCCGTTGAGAAGGGGGGCGCGGTGCAGAGTGGGTCCTCCTGGGGCCCTCCGGAGATCTCCTAGGCACTCCCGAGGCCGCCATGGGCCCTCCTGGAGCCTCTGGGGGCCTCTAAGAAGCCTCTCGCGGGGGCTGAAAAATGACGACAGTTTCACGGATGGGAGCCTTTCCGTTGAGAAGGGGAGCGCGGTGAAAGGTAATAAAGTGACGACAGTACCGCATTTGAGGCCCCAAATCGTCTTTGGGCACCTCGGGCGCGAATCCCCCTCCCGCATAGTACGGTGCGATTTCCCCTCCCCCCGCTGTCCCGCCGGACCCCGGGAGGGTGATTTTTGTGGTTTTCGCTTGTAAGAAACACTTCCCCCCCCCTCTCGACGGTGACGGAGGGCAGGCGGCGGGGGTGGGCGGGTTGGCGGGGTGGCGGGTTGGCTGGGGTTGCGGGGTGGCTGGTTGGGCTGGTTGAGCCGGTTGAGTTGTTTGGTGGCTGGTTGGTTGGGCTGACTGGTTGGGCTGGCTAGGGCAATTGGCTTCGATTTTCCCATATTTTCCCGGGAATCGACGATTCACCGTGTCTGTGTGTTTTTTCTCCTCCTGATCCCTCCCCGTCCCTCCCCCCTCACCCTCATCCCTCATCCCCTCCCACCCTCCTTCACTCCACCCGTCCCTGCGTACTCGTCTGCGCCAGGAGTGGGAGAGAAACATTGGGGCGGAGGAGGATTTGGACGCCCGAAATGGGCACGGAAAGAATGGGTACAATGCCCAATAACAAATGTTGCCCCAAACCAACAGCGGCCACTGTTGGGCAGGCGGCCTTCTGTCTCAAATGGACACGGCGGCGCGAACAGCGAGTCCTGCTCAAAATGAACAGAAACTGCTGCTGGGCATCGTACCCATTTTTTCCGCACCCATTTCGGGCGTCCAGAGAGAAATAGTTGAGAGCACAGGCTGTGGAGGGAGCCGGCCTTCCGCACCTCTTTCCCCCCTCCGTGCCTTCCCTCCGTGACTCCCTCCTCGCGTCGCTCGTTCCTTCTCCACCTTCTCCTCGGCGCCTGCACGCGTTGAAAGCGCGTCCCACGTGCGCTCGCGACAAACGCATGCTGGACAATCTCCCTCTGTGCACGTATCGCTGCGCGCGAGCAGTCCCCCTTGGCGGCATGTTGGATACCCCCCTCGGCGCCTCCACCTGTGAACTCTCCGCACTTCTAATGTCAACGATTCTCCCTGGCGGGATCCGACTCGATCGAGCCTGGGTCGCAGGAGGAAGAGGAGGAGGAGGCGGAGGAGGAGGAGGAGGATAGGGAGAGGGGTGGAGGAGGAGGAGGAGGAGGAGGAGGAGGAGGATAGGGAGGAGGAGGAGGAGGAGGAGGAGAGGAGGAGGAGGAGGATGAGGAGGGAGGAGGAGGGAGGGGGGGGGGGGGAAGGAGGAGGGGGAGGAGGAGGAGGAGGAGGAGGAGGAGGAGGAGGAGGAGGCGGAGGAGGAGGCGGAGGAGGAGGATCCACTTGCTACTTGCTCGACTCCCCTCTGGACTTTGGGCCACATGCCCGCCCACCGAGTAACCCTGGGCAAGGCCGCCAAGGCGGGGCAGCACTGCCCACCGTGACTCGTTCATAACGCCCGGACTTGAGGGCCCCCTTTGGCTTTCAGTGGCCCAGGCCTTGTGAGGAGCAACGATACGGGGGGACTGGCATAGGGGGGGATGCATCGACCTGGAATCGGCGATACATCGCCGATAGATTGGCGATAGGCCTCCGATCGTGAGTCCGCATATTCCTGGAAGGTTGGGGCTATCGGGCCCCTGTCGGCGATCAATGGGCGATTGGGGGTCGATGCATCCCCCCCTATGCCTATCCCCCCTATCGTTGCCCCTGACCTTGGACGGCACCACCGGTCAACTCCAGACTCCCGCCGGAGGGCTCGTGACGAGGCGCGGCCGATGGGAATTACCCTGGTGCCCGAAGGCCTCCGGCAAGCATCTTCTGTGGCAAGTCATGGGGGCCTCTCGTACTACGTCAGGTTCGTGTCATGCCGACTTCGGCGTTGGTTTCTGACACCGCAGGGATCGTTCAACCTTGAACGATCGGCCGTTTCCAAAACGTCCAGATCGTTCCACATCGAACGATTCTGGGTTGCCCGCGGCTTTCAAAGTTGAACGCCGCTGGCGGGCTCGCCGCCGGTCGACACGACACGAACCTTCCGTATCTTGCTGGCTCCGAGCCGATGCTACCTGGTGTTTTCGAGTTCTCTGTGTCGAGTCTTGTGCACTGCGAGGGCTCCTCGAAGGGCCCAGGGCCCAGATCTCGGGGCACCCTCGGGCGCTCTGGTGTGCATCGCGTGCACTTTTTCTGGAGGCCTCGAAGGCGCGATTCGTGAGCGTTTTCTTGTTCGGCGTTGTGACATTGGGCGGAATGAGGGGGGAAGGGGGGGGTCTGGCTCTGGGGGGGAGGGGGGGGGTCTGGCTCTGGACCTCTGCTTACTGCGACTGTTTGCGACAGTGCGTCCTGTGAGGGGAGACGCCACCTGCTCGAAACAGGCGCCAGAAGCAGCCAAGATCTACTCCGTGTGGGGGGGGGAATGGGGGGTGCGAGGGCCTGCGCCGATCGGCAAAACAATGACCACAAAAACGACCAGAATTCGGACTCCACGCGTCCAGGCACTGTTGAAGACTGCCCCGGGGCCCGATCTGGAACCCTCCAGGGCGCCTCTCGTGGAGGCTCTGTGGGCTGCCCCACGGGAGCCGGCATCGCTGAAAAGCCGCAGGTTGTTGCATGATCTCAGGCCGTCTCACCCCTTCGGTCGTGAGAGCGCCCAAGACGGCCCAGGAAGTCCCCAAGCCTGCCCCAAGTGGGGAACACGAACCGTCATATCCAAACTTTTTTCCCCAAAGCTGGCAGCGTGGCGTGGCGGCGGGATGGGCCGAGGGCCGCCTGATATCGGAGAAATGCCACCTTCCTGCTCAACAGCATGCCCTCTCCCCAGGGGGGAAAGAGGGGAGAGGATGAGGGATCGGGGTAAACCCACAATGCGTCACCGATGCCGCAACACGTCCTCACGTCTCAATAAGTCCCTACGGCAGCTTCGTGTCGTGCCGACTTCGGCGTTGGTTTCTGACACCGCGGGGATCGTTCAACCTTTGAACGATCGGCCGTTTCCAAAACGTCGAATTGCTTAGCATCGACCGATTCGCGCTCAGCGATCGGGGGACCCCTTTGGGTCCGCACCAGAGGTCACTCCGGCGAAAGGTCACTCTTCCCCCTCCCCGTCACCAGCGCCCCACGTCTCCCAGCATTGCCCCCCTTCACCTCCCGCCCCCCTTCCCCTCCCTCACCCCCCCACGCGGCCGCGGCAGTCCCCGGCCGCGGCGCGCCCACACGCGGAAGAGGGCGTGGCGGCTGATGTAGAGCCTGGGCCCGCTTGCCCGGGAGCGGTCTCTCGTAGCCAGCGTCGGCAGTGGACCTCCTCCTCCTCCTCCTCTTCTTCTTCTTCTCCACTTCTTCTTCTTCTTCTTCTTCTTCTTCTTCCTCCTCCTCCAATCCTCCATCCTCCTCCTCTCCTCCTCCTCCCCCTCCTCCTCCTCCTCCTCCCTCCTGCCTCCTCCTCCTCCTCCTTCCTCCTCCTCCTCCTCCTCCTCCTCCTATCCTCATCCTCGCCTCCGCCTCCTCCTCCCTCCTCCTCCACCTCCTCCTCCTCCTCCTCCTCCTCCTCCTCCTCCTCCTCCCCCCCTCCTCCTTCCTCCTCCTCCTCCTCCTCTCCTCCTTCCTCCTCCTCCTCCTCCTCCTCCTCCTCCTCCCTCCTCCTGCTCCTCCCTCTCCTCCTCCTCCTCCCCCTCCTCCTCCTCCCCCTCCTCCTCCTCCTCCTCCTCCTCCTCCTCCTCCTCCTCCTCAGAGCCAGCGTCGGGCATGCCACGCTACTCACCACGGGCATGGGACTACATGTGAAAGGCGACGCGAGGCCACGCGCTCGTTCTTTATATGTATATGTATGTATGTATGTGTATCTATATATATATATATATATATATGTATAGGTCTCTCTCGTTCTCTTTGTTCTCTCTCTCTCTCTCACACGTTTCTGTTGTTTGTTTGTTTGTTTGACTCTTTTTTGTTGTCTCTCCTCTCTCTCTCTCGGGGAGGGCGCGGGCGAGAGGGCGAAGGGGGGTGAGAGGGAGAGGGGGGGCGGCGAGAGCGAGGGGGGGGGGAGAGGAGAAGTCGGGAGAGCATGGGGGGCGGAGGACGAAGGGGGCGAGGGGGGCTGGGGACTGGCGAGAGGGTGCGGGCAGGCTGGGTGCGCTCGTCTGGCGCCCTGCCCCTCCTTCCCGTCCCGCCCGCGCTGCAGCCCTCGCCACACGAGAGGGCAGTGTGATCGAGGAGGGTCTCAGCCCCTCGGGATCAAGAGTGGGAAGGGCATGAAGGGTGCGGAGGGGGGAAGGAGGAGGAAGATGATGATGATGATGAGGAGGAGGAGGAGGAGGAGGAGAAGGAGGAGGAGGCGGAGGAGGAGGAGGAGGCTGCATGGAGATGAGCACATGTGGCACATGCCATACACGTGGTGCAGCGGGAGCACCACCTTTGCAACGCTGCGGCGAGAGCGTCGCTTTCCGTTGGGCTGGGGCTCTCCGGAGAGCATCGAGCGTGGGAAGCGCTGCAGCGGGAGTTGCTCCTTGGAGAGGCCGACAGAGTCTTGACTGGGAGGGCCATATCGTGCCGTCGCTCGGACGTTCGTTCCCTGTGCATGTTTCGGTTTCGTGCGTGTTTCTTGTTGTCGAAGATCCTGGATGCTCCTCGATGGCCTAGCCGTGAAACAAAGGCACACGTCCGAGCGATGCCAAGGCTGGGCATCGCTCGGACGTCCATTCCCTGTGCTGTTTTTGGTTTCGTGCGTGGCTTGTTCGCCAAATGATCAAGGATGCTCCTCGATGGTCCTCGCCGAAGGAGAAATGCACACGTCCGAGCGATGCCAAGCAGGTGCAGAGAGCAGTCTGCGAGAGGCAGGCGGGCGCCAGCCAGCAGAGGCAGCACCAGGGGAGGGCGGGGGGAGTAGCACTCGGCATCGTGCACGACTGTGGAAGGGCAAGGTGCGACATGGTGGAGGAGGGGGGAGCGCGGCGCGCGGGGGGAGGGGGGGCAAGGGGAGGGGGGGGGGGGGGGGGGCGCGCGCGCCCAGGAGGCGAGGGGAAACGGGAATGAGGGTGTCCCTCCTCCTCCTCCTCCTCCTCCTCCTCCTCCTCCTCCTCCTCCTCCCCCTCCCCGTCCTCGTACTCCTCGCGATCTCTCGGACGTCTATCTCCCGTGGATGCGTTCGACGTCGTGCGCTCGTCTTTCCGCAAGAGGAGCCAAGGTGTTCCTGGATGGACCTCGCCAGGGGAATACACACGTCCGAGCGATGCCAAGCCTCCTCCTCTGGTCTAGGCGTTTCGCGCGAAACTTGCTCACCACCTGTGGTCCTGAAGCTTGACATCCCAACTCCCAGCAGCTACACGGATGCAAGTATCGAGCCTTCGCCTGAGCGCCGCGCACGCTCGTCTTACAACACGTGCAGCAGTCGTAAGAATGGAGGGTTGAGCCTTTCCCAAGAAGGGTTTTCACCGTAGCGCCGCGCACATTTGTCTTGAAAGCCTGCAACACTTACACTGATGGGAGGCGAAGCCTTTCAACAAGGGAATCATAACTGAACACCGCGCACATTCGTCTTAAAAGCGTGCAGCAGTTACTGGGATGGAGGATGGCCCCAGCTTCAAAAATATTGCCCTCGCTTGAGACTTCCTCGGCTTAGCGAAGAGAAGCTTGAAACTATGTAACGCGGGAACGCATTGAGGCCCCTTTTCTCAAACGGGGCCCTCGTTTGAAACCTCCTCAAGTGAATAAGCAGGAACCTCGCCGGACTTCCATTCGGGTGTTGCTGGAAGTACCCCTGGCCCAAGGTACCCCCAGTTTTCCGATCCATGTTGGACCCCCTGGGGCCCTCTAGGCCTCGTGAGGGGTGCTCTGGAGGCCCTTTGGGCTGGCCCCAGAATCCTGGGGGCACCTTGGCCCAGGGCCACTTCTAGCCGCACCCGATCTATGACCCCCGACTGCTCGCTGGAAAGAGGCACGGCAACTCCTCTTCAAAAAAGCACTGGACTCTCGCCTGCATATGGCAGGGCAGCAGGTGGGGGCGCTCGACTCTCCATGGGGGCGCCTCTCGCAGCGACGAGCACGGCCTGCAGGGGCCTTGTGAGGTGGGGGCTTGGGACAGTTTGTCCTAAGGGGAGGAGAGGAGGAGGAGGAGGTGGAGGAGGAGGAGGCGGAGGAGGAGGGATGAGGAGGGAGGGAGGAGGAGGAGGAGGGAGGAGGAGGAGGAGGAGAGGAGGAGAGCGGAGGCGGGAGGCGGAGGAGGAGGAGGGCGTATCGCAACGTCGTCAAATCCAGGGGGATGCCTTGGCCAGTCTGAGGCCATCCATACTTTTCCTTCGTGGCCTGCGCCCGTGGAGGCCCTGCTCCAAGTGCGGTGCCGCGTGCAGTTCAAGAAGGGCCTCTCCTGTCCTCGGTCCGCTCTGGTCCTTCCTCCTCCTCCCCCCCCCCCCCCCGCCTCCCCTCCCTCCTCCTCCCCCTCCCCCTCCTCCCCCCTCCTCCTCCTCCTCCCCCTCCTCCTCCTCCTCTTCCTCCTCCTCCTCCTCCTCCTCCTCCTCCTCCTCCTCCTCCTCCTCCTCCGCCTCATCCTCCTCCCTCTTCGCTGCTGGGGGCCGGAACTCGAAGCCCCAGCCCCGGAAACGGCGACGGAGCCCTCCCTCTTCTGGCGGTGCGCACAATGGGGGTGGAGGGAGGGGGGGAGGGCTTCTTAGAAGGAGGCTGCTTCTTAGAAGGCGCCGGCCTTGCATCTATAGATAAGGCCCGCGCCTTCAAAGAAGCATGGTGCTTCCAAGAAGCCCTCCCCGCTCCCTCCATCCCCCCTCTGCGCGTGGCTGACTCATGAGACGAAGCCAGGCATGGGACAGAATCGGACAGGGACACATCGTGGATCTCAGAGGACCGGCGCTTCGGGAGGACATCTCGGGCGCCGCGGCCCTTCCAAGCCGCTCTGGGACGCCCTTGAACGCTCTCCGGAACGCTCTGGAACTACTCATCCTGGCCCGGGGCCTGCCCAACTCGTCCTCCGCCGCCGCCGACGACGAAAACGGGGACTAGACCAGCGCGTTCCACTACTCGCACAAAGTCACTGCTCGCAAATGGCCTGCATCCGCCGTGGGGGGTCTACGATCTATTACATCGAGGCAAGCATGTGTTTTTTACTGACGTTTGCGAGGATAGGGGAACGAACAATTACATAAACATGCAAATTCCGAGGGCCGCGCGGATTTCTTGGATCTGCGCTCGACCCCGTTCCCTGGCGCGCGGAGCGCGCCAGGGGCGGCGCCCGAGGCGCCGCTGGGGGGGGTCCGGCGCGGATCCAAGAAATCCGCGCGGAGCGCCACAAGTTTATTTATCTTCATGCTGTTTTTTCTCGTTCGAAAGGAGGCACGTTGCGAGTAGTGGAACGCGCTACGTCAGGGACGACAGTCGAAGACGACGACGGCGAGGCCGGCGCAGGAGCGTCGGACAGAAACCAACGCGCGCACCGAGCGCGCGGCTCGAACATGCTGTAGCGGATCTTGCCCTTCAGGCTCTCGGATAGGAGCTTCAGGCCGGTCACCTCGCCCCCGCACGGCAAGGGAGGAGGTAGACAGATGGGACACAGACCGATGTGCTAGTATTGGGTCGGGCATGTCCTCCTAGAGGCGGATTTTGGGCGACAAATGCCAAATTGTCAAAACATGTTCAAGAATAGCAAACATAATCCAATGAACATAGTCCAACAATCGTCCCCAGGCTATTTTTGTTAAACTATTTTCGACTACTCCTCCTGTAGAGGGACAGGCCCGACTCAATACTAACACTGTGTTCTCCCTGGGAGTGTGCGTCTGGCTAGAACATATGGCACAACAGTCTTATAGCGCATCGTTCCCCAGCGGTATGGCCAGGAAACCCCTGACACCGAGCCTATACACCACGATGTCTGAACGCGCGCGTCGCCCATTTTGGGGGGGACGCACAGATACTGATAAGTATGTTTGGGTGACACTGAGCAAGGCCGAAGTGCGGCTCTCGAGGAAGAGGCGCAAGGGCCGCGTGACCTCAGCAGCGCGCCGGGGCCGCAAGGTGCGGAACACCGCAACGCAACGCGCCAAGCAATGAGCATCGTGGCGCGGGACGGGGTCCAGGCCGCAACCCTGGCAGCGGCCCGCCTGCCTGCGGCGCACGCTGGCCGCCGAGGTCTCCAGTGCGGCGCGGCGGAAGCGGCGAAAAACGCGACGACGGCCGACCGTGGGGAAGGCAGCACGTACTGGTACCGCTGCTCCAGGGTTCCCTTCCCAGGGTGCGTTATGACCACGATCTTCAGGAGAATCCAGCGGTGGCGACGAGGGCCTCCCAGGAGGCCCAGAAAGGTGAAAACGAGGTAACTAAGGGTAGCAATGTGGGTACCTTTTCCTCCTCTGAGAAAATCGGTCTTGTCTTGCCAATCCTCGCTCAAGCAGGTACGCCCAGACAACGCCGCGGCCACGCCCGAGGCCCCGAGACGGGCACCCAGCTCACCAGCACGACGGATTTTGCCACGGCTAGAGCTCTGCCATTGGCAACCTCTCCGCTGGTGATGACCACGCGCAGATTCTTGTGGGCACAATCCTGGAAGAGACACGGGTCCATGTTCCAGTCGTCTCCTGTGACCCAGGGCCTCCCCTGACCTCTCGCCTGTCCTCCTATTGTCTCCGGGAGCTGCATGTCCCCCTCCAGGCCAGCACTGTGCTCGAGATGCGCCGACGCTATGATCACCTTAACCTGCAGGTCCAAGTCCACCTCCATCGCCACCAACATGTGGCTTCTGAGCCTGAGCATCCTTGCATGCTTGCTGCCTCTCCCCCTCGTCGTCAACACCGCCGTACCTCCGCTCGACTCCAGAGACAATGCCCACGCCTGGTCCGCGGCTGCCGTCCACGCGCGCCAGCGTGCCCAGGTGCACACCCTCATGGCCGCCTTCTTGGTCTTGCCGCGGTGCTCCTGCAGCAGCACGTACTCGGGCAGCCTCATGCCCTTGCTCCGCGCCTCCTCCAGCAGCCTGGCTGCCGAGTTCCAACTGTTGGTGTCGGTCGTCCAGACCGTGCCCATCTGATCCTTCATCTTCGCCGCCTCTCCTAGTGCTTGGCTCTCTCCTCTGGCCTCGCTCCTCGGCGTCGCTCTTCCTTCTCGCCTAGGTGAGGCCCCCTGACGACGCCACTCGCTGTGTTGGCGAATATCACGGTCCCCGCGGCGAGGACAGGCCGAGGGGCCGAGGTCTGGGTCCGCTGCGGCACTGCCCCCTCCCCCCCCTTGTGGTCGAGCTCCGCCGCCGCCGAGGTCCTGTTGGCCGTGGCGTTCGTCGCCCCGTTCGCCTCATGCCCTCTGGGCCCGCCAAGGGCTCCCACCTGCTTCTCCTGAGAGCCACTAATTACCACCTCCCGTGGCCTACACCTCACATCTGGGCGCCTTTCTCCAAGCGCGAGGTCGCGCCGTCCCATCCGGCACTGGCGCGGGCTCGCCGCCGCGCGCCGCCGGTGCGATTTCCGGGCCTCCGTTTGCCAGATGAGCCGGTCGAACTGCGCAAAAAGCCCGTCTTTGAACCTGGGGCCATGTCGCCGATCAGCTCTCTGAACTCCTCGCACACTTGCTGAAACGCCCTGGGTGTCGAACTCGCCTAGCATCTTTAGATGCTCCACCAGAGCCATTATATGGCGCCTGCTCGTCCTTGCCTCCTCGCAAACCTCCTCGGCTAGCTGCCTTAGCGAGCCATCGCCCTTGGCCGCCACCACCCGCCCGCTCCGCGCGGGCGTCTGCAGCGCCGCCAGCGCGCACCTGGTGCACCACTCCAACCGCGAGCTTCGGCCCGCCTCCGCGTCGCTGAGCCTCGGGGCCCACTTCGCAGCCCTGCTCGCCATGACGCCGCAGAGCCTGGTCTCCTCCACGTCTGCCTCCAGGGGGTTGGGCGGCCTGCCCATGCCACTGGGCCCACCGTGCCGCCAGATGCTGTCGCCCCCCTCCTCAGGCCCGCATTCTTTCTCGGGCCCGCCCCCGGCCTCCTCGACCTCCGCGATGCGTCCGCCACCCCGAGCGCGCTGCAACTCCCTGGCGCACATTTGATCTTCGCGTCGGCCTCTTCGACATCCGCGAGGGTCTGGCACGCCTCGGGAGGGGGGGGGGGGGGGGGGGGGGGGGGCGGCGCGGCCCCTGGCGCTGCGGCGCCAGGGCGGGGTCGACGCTCCCCCCCCGAGTCCGCCCCCAGCGGCCCCAAAACCTTTTCGCGCTGCTGTCGTCGCCCGTTCCCCTTGATGACCATGTCCGCCAGCTCGAGCGCGACGCGGCCCCATGGCGCCCCGCGAGCTCCCTCCCTCCTCGGGTTGGCCCCTTCAGCCGCCTCGAGCGCTTCCCGGGCCCCCCGCGCCCCTGGCGGCGACGTCCTACGCTCGCGCCCATCCTCCTGGAGGGGCGCCGCACTGGCGGCAATTCCCCCCGACCTCCGCCGCCAGCGCCTCCTCCTCCGCTGTCCTCGGTCGAGGGCGCCGCGCTGGCGGCGCTTCCCCTGCCCGCCCCTCCCTCGCCGACGCCGCCGCCCGGGCCCCGCCTGAGGGGCTCGGCGACCACGCAACCGACGCTTGGCGCGGGCGGACGGAAGGATGGCCAATAACTCTGGTTTCACCGCCTCCCGAAGGAAGCCGGCTACCCCGCGGGGCCCGATGGGCGCCCCCCCCGCGGGAGCCAATAGGCGGGTCGCTTCCGCGCGAGCCCGCGCCCCCCTGCCGCATGTTCCCTCCGCCAAGCCACAATGGCCCCCCTCGTCGTTGCCGTCTGCAGTCCGCCGCGGGGTCACCGAGCGCAGCCCTCCTTCCATCTGTGCCCCGCAGCCCCGTTGTCGACTGCCCGCAACCTCGCACAGGTCGCGCCTGCCCATCTTCCAGGTACTTGGCGTCGGGCCTCGCGTCGTCGAAGGTGCGGTCGCCTCGGCGCCTGGGCACCTGCCGTTCCCAATCCCCATCGGCCTCGCTGTGCGCCCAGAAGTCCGTCTCCTTGAGCATCTCCTCTGCGACGGCCCCGTCGCCGTCCTCGGTCTCCACCGCGAGGTCGTGCGCTACCCGCCGAGGTCCACCCCGCCCAGGCTGCCCTTGCAGAGAGGCCGCCGTGTCCTGGGGGATGCTGCCCCCCTGAGGGGGCACCCCTGGCCACCGCCGCGCTGCCCTTGCCCTCGGCCTCGGCGACGGCGGCCGCCTCCGCTTCGTGTTCCCGATTGGCCCGCGCTGCGTCGGCAGCTGCTCTGACCCCTTTCAATGCTCAGCTCGCCTGGCCCTCCTGGCGTCTTCGTCGACGTCCTCCATGGCGTCCCCCTTGGTTCCTGCCACCACCGCCGCGCTCGCCCCTCCGCTTGCCGCGCCAGCTTTTGGCTTCCTTACCTGGGCAGCCCCCGCGTCTCCTGCTGCGCCCTCGACCTTCCTTTTCTTGGAAGCGTTCCTGGCCCGCGCCCTCGCCTGGTTGGCCACCAGCTTGAGCCGCTCCTCCCTGGACTGGGCATGCGCGAAGAACTCGTTGCTTATCCGCTCCGCCTCAGCCCTTCGCTTCGCCGCGTCGGCCAGCGTGCCCTCGCCCCCCTTCTGGCACTCCTCCAGCTGCTCCTTGAACTTCTGGCACTCTGCCGCCGCGCTCTCGTCGACCTCGGCCAGCTCCACCAGCTGGTCATCTGGGATCTCGAACCCGCGGAACTTCACGGTGCCTGCCCGACCACCTGCTCCTTCTGAGCCAGCCGCCTTTGCCGGGTGGTGTTGGCCTGCTGCAGCTCCGCCTTGACGTCCGCGTAGCTGTCCGCCGCCAGCCCCCCCTCCGCTCGCAACTCCTCGGGCTCGCTGCTCCAAGGCCCGCGCCTCGGACCCCTTGGCCTGCGGCACCTGCCACCTCTGCCACCTCTGCCCTGCCTGCGCACTGGCCGCCCTTAGCCTCGCGAAAGTGTCGCTGGGCTCGGCCTTCCTGCCTGCCGCCAGCGACGGCGCCGCGCGCCTCCGCAGCGCCGCGATCGCCTCCTGCTGGCGCCCATCTTCGACGGGCCTCCAGCACAGCGCGCACATTTTGCATCCGTGGCCCCCCGCCTGCCTGCGCGGGGCCCTGGCTGCGACCGCGCCTGCCCGCGCCTGCCGCCCATGGGCCCAGCGGCTCTGTGCTGAGGTAGGCACCGCCGTCGCACCGCTCTTGGCACCGCGCGACCCGCAGACCGCGCGCCCGCCCTGTTCCTTGCCGCCAGTGGCGGCCGCCCCTGGCGGACCCGACCCGTCATGCGCGCACAGGACTGCGGCCGCTGGCTCCAGGCGCTGCCTCTGTCTGCCCGGTGGGCGTGCCCTGCCGGGCACGCAGGAGGGCCCGCGCGCAAGCCCGCCGGCGGTGCCTGCGACGATGCCGCGCCTCCTTCTCTTCGGGAAGCGCAGTGGTCCCCGCTCGAGGGGGCCAGCGGCAGCCTGTTTGCCCCCAGGCTCTCGGGCCGAAACTACGACGACGACGACGACCACGACGACGACGACCACCACGACGACGACGACCACCACGACGACGACGACCACGACGACGACGGCGACGACGACGACGACGACCACGACGACGTCGACGACGACGACGACCAAGACGGCGACCACGATGCTGACGACGACCACGACGACGACTACGACGACGACAACGACGAGGACGACGACAACCACGACGAGGACGATAACGACTACCACGACACCGACGACCACGACGAGAAGCACGACAAAGAACGACGACGACCACCATGACGACGACGACGACCACGACGATGATGACGACGACGATCTCGACGACGACGATGACGACGATGACAACGACCACGACGAAGACGACGACGGCGGCGACGACGACGGCGACGACGACGACGGCGACGACGACGACGACGACGGCGACATCCACGACGACCACTAAGACGACGGCGACGACGACGACGACAACGACACGACGGCGACGACGAGGGACAACGACGACGACGACGACCACGACGACGACAACGACCAACGCAGACGAACGCAAACAACGACAATGACGACCAAGACGACGACGTCGACCACGACGACCACGACCACGACGACGACCACCACGACGACCACGACGACGACGACCACGACGAGGACGACCACGACGACGACGACGACCAAGACGACGACGACGACGACAACCACGACGACGACAGCGACCACGACGACGACGACGACGACGACGACCTCGACTACGACGACGACTACGACGACGACCTCGACGACGACGACGACAACCACGACGATGACGACCACGACGACGACGACGACCACCACCACCATCACGACAACCACGACGACGACCACCACCACGACAACCACGATAACGACGACATCGACCAACGGACCACGACGACGATGACGACGATGACGACCACGACGACGACGACGACGACGACGACGACGACGACGACGACGACGACGACGACGACGGCGGCGGCGACGACGACGACGACGACGACGACGACGACGACGACGAGCGCGACGACGACAACCACGACGACGAGGACCATAACGACTACCACGGCAACGATCACGACGACCACGACGACGACGTCGACGACCACGACGACGACGAAAGCGACGACGACGACGACGACGACGACGCCGGCGACGGCGGCGACGTCGACGACGACGGCGACCACGACGACGACGACCGCGACGACGGCAGAAGCGATCCAAGACGAAGGCGACAGCGGCGGCGTCGTGGAACAGTCCCCAAGGGTCAAATCGGCGCCTCGTCGCGGCCGCCCGCGGGAGGCGCCTCGTCTGGACCCCTCGCGCGCGCGCGCGCGAGGCCGCCGCCGGGACGCCCGCGAGCTAAGCGGGCCCCTGCAGATCCTCGAGCAGCGCCTCCAGAAGGGGCCCCCGGCGCACGTCTGGCGCCCGGCGGCCGCCCGCGGTGCTGCCCGGGCCCTCCGGGACGTGCCTCGCCGGGGAGGAGGCAGGAGCACAGAGACGGAGGCCCGCGGAGCTCCGCGCGGATGCCTCGGACCCGCGCTGGGCCACCCGCGCGCCAGGGGCGGCGCCTGAGGCGCCGCTGGGGGCGCCCATCCTCCTCCTCCTCCTCCTCCTCCTCCTCCTCCTCCTCCTCCTCCTCCTCCTCCTCCTCCTCCTCCTCCTCCTAAGCCAGCGCTCGGGCCAAGCTCGGGCAGTGAGAGCACGCCCACCCAGATGAGGCGACTGGGGAAAGCTGCACTGGCTCACTCGACATTGGCATTCGAGTGTGCTGGCGCAGTCCCCGCTCGGTTTCGCGCCAATCGACGTGCCTTTGGCGCTGGCTTAGGAGGAGGAGGAGGAGGAGGAGGAGGAGGAGGAGGAGGAGGAGGAGGTGGAGGAGGAGGATGGGCGCCCCTGGCGGTGCCTCTGGCGCCGCCCCATTGCGCGCTCCGTGCGCCAGGGGAGGGGTCCCAGCGCCGATGCAGTAGAATTACGTCCGCGCGGAGCTCCGAACGTTTCTGTTTCTGGCGCCTGCTCTTCTTCGAGCCTCGCGAGGCCGAAGCCGACGCTCTTCTCCCGCCAGTTGTACACGGTGTAGTACTTGCGCAGCACGGGCTCGCCTGCAGGCGGCGCGCGGGGGGATCCAGGGACGCACAGAGCCTGTCAGCAGGACCCGGAGGCCCCCAGGAAGGCCCCTTGCAGACGAGGGCAGGAGGGCGCCCGAGGCTCCCCCGCGCCTCCTCGGACAGCCACCCTCACCTGGGATCCGACATCGTTAAACAATTGAGCGAGGATCGAAACCGGGTCTCACGCGAGATGACGTAGCGACCTTACGCCGCAGCTCACGAGGGCCGCCACCGCGGCACGCTGCATGGGAGTCGAGGGCGCTTACGCGCGATCTTACGCTGCATGGGCGCCAATGTCGGAGCAGCTCGTCTGCTTGCGTCGCCCAATCGCAACATCGTGAACACCCACGACCGTCGGGGGGGGTGCAAAGGTGGGGTAGGGGCAGAGCTGGGACTCGATGAACATCACTCTGGACGGCCCCTGGGAGAAGGAAACATGAGCATACAGCTGGGCCCCTCCCTCCCTCCCTCCCGCCCTCCCTCCCTCCCTCCCCCCTCCTCCCCCTCCCCCTCCTCCTTCCTCCCCTCCTCCTCCTCCTCCTCCTCCTCCTCCCTCCTCCTCCTCCTCCTCCTCCTCCTCCTCCTCCCCTCCTCCTCCTCCTCCTCCTCCTCCTCCTCCTCCTCCTCCCTCCTCCTCCTCCTCCTCCTCCTCCTCCTCCTCCTCCTCCTCTCCCGAAGCCCACCTTGGGAGAACCCCCCCCCCTTCTACGAACCCTCGAGGATGGAGCTCCAGACCGGAAGCCTCGGGACTCAGGGGTCGGCACTGGACCCCCCCAGTCCGTGGCGAGCTCCGCGCGCCAGGGAGCGGCGCAGAGAGAGGGGCGCCGCGCAGAGGGGGCGCCCGAAGCGCAGGTCCGAGACATCTGCTGCCTGCAATGCGCTGGCGTGTCCTACTCTTGCTTGCTTCGTCGTGCCATGTTAAAATCCCGCCCCTTCCTCTGTCCCTCCCCACCCTCATCCTCGCTCCCCCACCCACTCTCACGCACGACGCTGCAGCGCAAACCGAAAACGCCCGCGAGAGAAATCACGCCTGGAGCCCCAGGCCCCGCGCTTCTTTGAAAAAGAAGAAGCGGCAGATGCGGCATAAGCACAAACTTTCTGCGCTCCGCGCGGATTTCTGGCCATCGCTCGGACGTCCATTCCCTGTGTTTTTGTTCAGTTTCGTGCGTGTTTTTTTCGCCAAACGCTCAAGGATGCTCCTCGATGGTCCTCGCCGAAGGAAATTATCCTGGCAAAGCAACCTAACAGCAATGTGTAGGAGCATATCTGGAGGCATTCCCCTTAAGATTCAGATGAGAATCCAGTTGTAGAATCCTGCTGTTCTCGCAGTCGAAGTCGCATTCGCGATGACAGTCGCAGTGGCCTGCATCAGCCTCAGCCTCAGCCTCAGCCTGCCTCAGCCTCAGCCTCAGCCTGCCTCAGCCTCAGCCTCAGTCTGCCTGCAGCCTCGGCCTCAGCCTCAGCCTGCCTCAGCCTCAGCCTCAGTCTGCCTTCAGCCTCGGCCTCAGCCTCCGCCTGCCTCAGCCTCAGCCTGCATGAGCCTCAGCCTCAGCCTCAGCCTGCCTCAGCATCAGCCTGCCTCAGCCTCAGCCTCAGCCTGCCTCAGCCTCAGCCTCAGCTGCTCAGCCTCAGCCTCAGTCTGCCTTCAGCCTCGGCCTCAGCCTCAGCCTGCCTCAGCCTCAGCCTCAGCCTCAGCCTCAGCCTGCCTCAGCCTCAGCCTCAGCCTGCCTCAGCCTCAGCCTCAGCTCTGCCTCAGCCTCAGCCTGCCTCAGCCTCAGCCTCAGCCTGCTCAGCCTCAGCCTCAGCCTCAGCCTCAGTCTGCCTTCAGCCTCAGGCCTCTCAGCCTCAGCCTGCTCAGCCTCAGCCTCAGCCTGCATCAGCCTGCCTCAGCCTCAGCCTCAGTCAGCCTGCCTCATCCTCCTGCCTTTCAGCCTCAGCCCTGCCTCAGCCTCAGCCTGCCTCAGCCTCAGCCTCAGCCTGCTTCAGCCTCAGCCTCAGTCTGCCTTCAGCCTCGGCCTCAGCCTCAGCCTCAGCCTGCCTCAGCCTCAGCCTGCATCAGCCTCAGCCTCAGCCTCAGCCTGCCTCAGCCTCAGCCTGCCTCAGCCTCAGCCTCAGCCTGCCTCAGCCTCAGCCTGCCTCAGCCTCAGCATCAGCCTGCCTCAACATTCAAATGTGGCCTGGGAATGGAGTTCTGGGAACTCGAAGAACACGACGTGGCCTACAGTTGGCTCCGGGCATTCAAAATCATGCCCAGAATGGAGTTCTGGGAACTCGAAGACCACGAAGTGGCCTACAGTTGGCTCCGGGCATTCAAAATCATGCCCAGGAATGGAGTTCTGGGAACTCGAAGACCACGAAGTGGCCTACAGTTGGCTCCGGGCATTCAAAATGTGGCCCGGGAATGGAGTTCTGGGAACTCGAAGACCACGAATGGCCTACAGTTGGCTCCGGGCATTCAGAATGTGGCCCGGGAATGGGGTTCTGGGACCTCCAAGACCACGAAGTGTGTAACTGTTTGCTTAAAATGACTTCCGCGGTTTCTCCCCGGATCCTGCCCGTACCCCCCTGGGGAGTCAAGATGATCTCTTTTGACCCCACCAGAAACCTATCAGTCTTCGCTGTTAGGTAAAATGCACACGTCCGAGCGATGCCAAGATTTCTTGGACCTGCGCTGGGAGCCCCCTCCCTGGCGCGCGGAGCGCGCCAGGGGCGGCGCCGGAGGCACCGACGCGCTAATTAGGGGCGCGGCGCGGACCCGAGACATCCGCGCGGAGCGCCACGAGTCTATGTTTATGGCGCTCTCTCTTCCTCGATGTCTGCCGCCTCTTTCGAGCCGGACCGCTCTGTGATGACCCTGAGGCCCGACGACCGGGCGAGAACACCTGGTGTCAAGTCTTCCAGGCGAAGAGCCCAGCCATACGCAGTTGTGGGCACCGTCGTTGCGGGTATCGCCTTCGGGGGATCTCCTCATGGGGCCACGAAGCGCTGTACTGGGCGGGGGAGACGCATGAGAACACCGCCACTGGGGCCTTCGGTGGACCTCCCGATGGGGCCACGAAACGCTGTACTGAGTGGGGGAAACGCATGCGAACACCGCCACTGGGGCCTTCGGTGGAGCGCCCAATGGGGCCACGAAACGCCGCAGTAGGTGTGGAGGGCAGTGGCAGGGATGGGAAGATGGGGAGGAGGGAGGAGGGGGAGGAGGAAAGGAGGAGAGGAGAGAAGACGCGGGGCGTCGCCTCTTCAAGACGAGGACCCCAACACCACGGGATGGTTTGGCAAAACCGCAACGCCCAGATCTCGCGTGATTACCCCCCCTCTCTGCGAGCCGCCGGTCGCCCCAGATGAAGAGCTTCGGCCCCATGGGCCCCGAGAAGTCCACGGGCATGATGGCCGGCCAGCAGCTCCTGTGGCAGGGCCTCGGGCTGCGCACCGGCGGCGCCCCCAGGTGGTCCCAGCTGGCCTCAGCAGGCCCCCCGAGTAGTCCCAGCTGGCCTCAACGGGCCCCATCGAGTAGTCCGGGGCGGTCCCAACACCCGAACTCTGGGGCGCGGAGCGCCCCAGGGGCGCCCCTGGGGGAGGCGCCAGGGTGCTGAGACCGCTCCAGACTACTCAGGGGGGCCTGTTGAGGCCAGCTGGGGCTACTCGGGCGGCCTGCTGAGGCCGGCTGGGACTGTCTGGGGGGGGTGTCTCCCAGACCCCGACGTCGTGATTTCTCTCATGACGTGGACCCCAGAGGTCTGGACCCCTTGATGCCTCCGAGGCCCCGTAAGGCCCCCGAGGGCCGAAACTAGCGAAGATGAGCGTCGCTCAACCGACCCCTTTCTCCATGGGCGTGGCCTGGGCCCACTGGCCAATTCCCCCCCCCCAGATGGGGACACGAGCCGTTTCCGTCGGCTTTCGCAGGTAGATGTCCCCAACGGGGGTGCTGAGATGGTGGGGGCCTGGATGGGGATGGGGATAAGGGGATAAGGGGTCGGTTAAACGATCGTGAAAACTGGCAGAACACCTTCCGCCGCACTTCTTTCAGGCAGTGCGCGGCCCGAAGCCTTGCCAGGCTCCTGGCTGGCCCCCCGCCGGGGCCGCTCGGCGCACCCGCGGGCTCGAGCACCTCGCCGCCGGCGCCGTCCTCGCGCAGCTGCACAGCCGGGCGGGAGTAGTCCCCAGGGCCCAGCGTCACGGTGTACCTGGATCCCTCACGGTGTGGTTCCCAATGCCAATCCAGACCCCCTCAATGGCGCGAAAAAGATCACGGCGGGCGTTCTGTTGCTGTTGGCTGCTATGCTCGGCCTCTGGGGGCCCTCGCCGGGCCCTGGGACCGTCAAAAACGACTCGGGATGAAAAAAGCTGTACTGGGGAATGGGTCGAGACCTCTGAGGATCGAAGCTAAGACAAATCATGGCATTGGGATTCTGGGAACCTTGCTTGCACTTGGGGACTCCTACTTCGCTTGCTTATGAGTCATTGGTCGGGTACTCCAAATTTTCGCCACGTTGCCGACTGTGCCGCCCAGTGTGCGCTCGTGGGCGCTCCGTGCGCAAAGACGCCCGCGAGCGCCCCGTGCGCTGGGGACGGGGCCGAGGTTGCGCCGCCGAGGTGCGTCACGGAGATGTATGTTTCCGCCTCCTCCTCCTCCTCCTCGTCCTCCTCCTCTTACTTCTACTACTACTTCTACTACTTCTACTCATTCTACTACAAAGTATGCATATTCTTCTTCTTCTTCTACTATGACTACTACTACTACTACTGCTGCTACAACTGCTGCCACTACTACTACTACTACTACTACTACTACTACTACTACTACTACTACTACTACTACTACTACTACGACTACTACTACTACTACTACTACTCTACTACTACTACTACTACTACTACTACTACTACTACTACTACTACTACTACTACTACTACTACTACTACTACTACTACTACTACTACTACTACTACTACTACTACTACTACTACTGCTACTACTACTACTACTACTACTACTACTAATACAACTACTACTACTACTACTACTACTACTACTACTACTACTACTACTACTACTACTACTACTACTACTACTACTACTACTACTACTACTACTACTACTACTACTACTACTACTACTACTACTACTACTACTACTACT